TTAGAGTAGTCACTTCGATATCTATTCTGATATAAACACAGCTATGTAAACCTAGTTGCTTTGTAACAATAGTAGGTAATATAGACTCACACACCGGTACACTTATATGTTGGGTTGTGTATTTTTTTCTTAACCAAAAGCTGAGGTTTAGACTAGTATTTTATATAATTCATAATAGGAACTAATAATATTAGCCGTTAATTTTCCACTGCTGAACATAGGCCTCACCCATAAAGAAGGGTTTTGTCATCAGTTTTTTCAATCCCTCGACTTAATGGTCGAGGGATGGGCAGTTTACAATGCATGACTAATAATGCTTTGACGTCTATGGTGGTGTGGCGGTTTAATACACTGCCTCACCCTTTGATTTCGATCCCCGCACAATATAAACATTTGTATTCATGAGCAAGTATATCTGTTGTTATCGGTCTGGGCTTTTTCTATGTATATGTGTTTATGTATAAACAAGTATTTTTTCTTTACGGAAAAAGAACGTTTCATGGACAATTTACACGAAAAATATTTGAATTTAGAACAAAACATCATGTTTACATTTACTATATTAGGTTTTACCTTCGACTTCGAACGCGTGACATAGATATATTCATAGTTTGAGATTAAAAATAGCCTATCACCATCTCCGTATCCTATACAACCTATATAAATTAACTATATAAGTTAAGCCGTCGAGGCGCCAAGAGGTAACAAACAAACTTTTACATTTATAATATTAGTAAGAACTAATAAGGATTAACAAAAACAGCTATGACGATTTGGTATTCGATAATTCAAATCAAACATTTTATTTTTGGCCAACATCAAAAACTCTACTCTAAGAATGGAGCAATACGGATTTTATTATTATACTGACAGCGATACATGAATTGTTGCCGCGTGCCAATACTGTAAAACTAATTTTCGTATTGGGATCTACCGGATAATCTAACAACGTGTTAACATTTGAAGGTTGGCATGTCTTGGTCGCATAGAATTGGCATGATTTCAAATATAATAATTGGGTGACAAGTAATCTTTTTCTAACAATAGTAAAGTTAAATAGAAGATAACAATTGTAGGTGTTAACTTGTAACATAAATTGTAAATTTTATTGAGTGTAAAATAAAAAATAAATACAATTAGATTACTTTTGGCACGCAATGGTTTTATTACAACTAGATGAGTCATTACACAAAGTAAATAACTTTGTCACAATTTTTTTTTTCTTGTGTTCTATCTATTGTAAAAGAATGCAGTACTTGATTTGGAATTGTTTCATGTATTTTTTTTTTATGCAACTTAGAATGGCAAACTAGCTGACTGCGTCACATATAGACATGTAGTACAATGGATATAACAGAGTATACTATTTTGCCCATGTTACCCCCATGCGTTGCCATTCCTGAGGACTCAGGACTCAGGCGAAACAGTATACTCTGTTATGTCCATGGTACTGCTCATGTCTATAGGCGACGGTCCACTTTCCATCAGGTGGGCCGTCAGCTTGTTTGCCATTCTAAGTTGTATAAAAAAAAAAAAAAAAAAAAAAAAACTCAGGTGTTATTTCTCTGTACCCTGTAAATTCACTGCCATATCCCACCCTTAAAACCGAAACACAGCCATGCAAACATAACTGCTTCACCGTTAAAAAACGAATGGGAAAGAGATGCTCAAACAAACGACTTTTGTAAAAAGTCTCCCTCTGGTAAATTCGTGTAAATGTAATAAATGCTTAACTAAGTTATTATTGACGCTGCATCACGAGGTTGGCCTACGTGACGACTTGAAAACCCACTCCTGGTTTACACTTCAAACTGAACAGTCGTTTTAATTATAATTGGATATAGGAATTTTATATTCTAACTTTTATTACTAGAATTAAATTAATTTTAAAAAACTTTCGTTTCTTTTTTAAGTCCTTCGGTTGACGTTCATAATTAAGTCCAAAGTTCTTCTAAAAACTCAATAATACGTCGGGTGTGTACATACAGTGCGTGCCTATATATTTTTTTCTGTTATTATGTACCTGCAATAAAATATTTTGAACGAAATTTTTTTTTTTATGGAGCATAGTTGAAATATAAAAATAATTAGTATACCACACCTGGTCGGAAAATTACCTTAAAACAGGGAAGGAAGTACATTTTAAGTTTAAAATCCGCTCGGAAAGTAGAAGTAGGGAAGATTAAGTTTGAAACAACGGTATAAAATTTTGTATTTAACCTATTACAGCGTGTTGTAAGAAAAATGCTTTATTAGTTATTTTTTTTATTATTATTATTGGTTTTAATAGGAAAGCAGCCAGTCAGTAATTGCGCGCCAAAATAAAAATCGATGAATAAATAAATATAAAAAAGTTTAGATTCGAATTTCGAATTCATTTAATAAAATCTATTTCAAATAACAAAAAGTTCATATACAATTGTTTTGTGTGTTAAACTTAAATTTAAATATTCACTCTAAAGTTTAAAGATAAGATATTAATAACAAGATATGCTCAAGACGTATATAATTTTAAATAATAATCTTCCATTTTATAAATTCAAATGTATTATAATATAATTAAACAAGTATAATTACTAAGTTTATAACAGTAGTAAAAACTTCAAACTGTGTTATGTGAAACAGTCCTAAGAATACAATAGATAAAAATTGCTATAACAAGTTAATGTAAAACTAGTTAATAACTAGTTATCGCTGAACTTAAATAGCAGATGCACAGGTTAATATAATAATATATTATTTCCGAATTAATACGAGATTATAGATGCGTAATTTAGTTAGTACTCTATGTAAAGTAATGCGTAATAAGTAATAAGTAATACGCGACTTTACTAATCCAACTAGTAATCATTGGGGGGAAAGGGATTGTTAGTAATGGGGTCAAATAGCCTCATTACTAGCAATGTATCCTGACAGGTCGACCTCCACGTGATTCCCCCTGGAAACTATCGTGAACAATTCTTGTTGAATTCGTCACAATGGGTCAACTGGCCTGCTTCACCCTCACCTATCATCATTCACTGGTGCCCCGCCAGTGTATACCGATAGCGCGGATGGTATTACCATTTCATTATCACCCATTAAAAAAAAAACTACTAATCATTCGACTGAATAAATCATTCAGATTGTTCGAGTGACTTTTAAATCATTCGACTACTAATTTTAATCTTCCTACTACTAATGTCAGCCGACATTAATTACTAATATCATTTTACTTCATTCATTAGTAGTCGTTGATGTACGAGTCCACACGAGCATAGTCGAGTCGATCCGATCGTTATAATGTTTTAAATTTTAACGAACAAAAATGTTGCCATGTTAATTTTAGTAAAAAATACCAATTTTCGATAAAAGTAAGTACAGTTTTCATAAAAAATTGCTAAAGTATTATAACATGTATTACAAAATTGATATTTTAAATTGATGGCGTCTAGTTTTGCCGTCGTAGTAAATAGATTCAGAGAAAGGACTTTGTTGTAACTAGTTACTAATCATTAAAATCATTCGAATACAGAAATTAGTATATTACTAATTTAGTAGTTGAATTATAAAATTAGTAATAACAAAATCTTTCGGATTCGCGCATAGCTAATGTAAACATAAAAATACTACATGCTTCTTAATATGAGAATTAAATGATCAGTGATAACAAGCATTATATTTCAAGTTATATATTAACGCAGTTATTCACAACTCTAGCCCGGTATACCGACCATCAATCACAGTTCAGAAATATCAAGTTACACACTCGAAACAATCACATTACGTTATTTTAAGAATAACCTTTCTCTCGTCTGCTATTTGATCTAAAAATATACCCCGTATATATTTAATGCATAGACGATAAATCGAGGGCAGGTGAAGAGGGAAGTCACAGGTGTGCCAGTACGTTGAGTCACAGCTACGGATCACGGATATATAGTATGTAATCCGTGACAAATATATTGAGTACTGTCGTTTGTGAATCTGTTGGGAGCACATCGATAGGTATTTTAAATATAGTATAAATATTATTATTGTTAGTAGTCAGATATGTATGTGTGTATGTATAAACATTTTTATTGTCGATTGGTATAATAAAATTGTCATATATGAAATATTTAATATAAAATTAGGATATTTTTTATACAGGAAATAAATTTATAAATTAATAAAAATATAACGCAAAGAAAAAAAACTAATACAGTGTATAATTATAATTTAGGATATTTAATATGTTTTTTTTTTTTTTAATAATTAAAAGGCTTTTACATTCACTAATTTGTTGATTTTCATGATTTTTTTGCAAGAAAAGTGTGTTTCCTTTTTTTAACGAAGCTGGTGTCTTCTTCGGGGGCAACTACCCCCGGACGTTGACTTCAATAGACTTTATGTGCAACGGAGACGATCTAAGAGCTCTTAATACCAAAAGGGACTTCAGCAAATTGTATGTGCATTGAAAACGATTAAATAACTCTTCATACCAGAGGGTACTACTCTAATATGACAAATCAACTATTTTGAAAAGCATTTTATTATACTCGATTCATTTGTACCAATAAGAAATGCGAAAATGCTTTTAATATCAGAAGGGAATTCAGTAAATTTTATTTATAATAAAGACGGTTTACTAACTCTTGACACTAGAGTAAGCTATAGTCAAATAATACGTTGTAATAATGAAAATAATATTCACCGAATCAAATTTATAACACTTTTAAAAATAATTGTAATATACTTTTTTCATTTGTACCAATACGAAATCGTGACCGTTAATCATCAAAGAATTCAACGGCTAAAGTATCAAGAGAACACGAACAGACTCACAGAATAATAATATATCAAGAGTTAAGTCATTATTCAACGTAACAGAAAAATATTACAGGGCGATAAATGATAAATCAAGTGGAAATTCCAGTACATAAACTAACGGGTCTTATTCGAAGTTTTTTTTTTCTGGCAAAACCGCTCAGACATAACGAACTGAAGCATTTAGTAACAAAAAATGCAATAAATCTTACCGTTCAGTCGAAAAACTGCGGCATCTTGCAGTTTCCCACGGTTATGCCTAATTTTCTCGATCTATGGCGGCGCACCTGTAACAAAAGGTAATTTACATATCTATCCATCTGCTCACGCCAACTAGGGCGAGCAAAGAACCAACTGTTTCATATACTGCAGTTGAACTCATAACAGGAATAAATCTACATTATTTAGCTATTAATAATATTTTGTATAATATGTATTTCCTTAAATTATATAGATAGAGTATCACCATATAAATGCTTTGCCAAAAATAGGTCAACTTTTTTGTGCATGTGTGTGTGAACAGGGCTATCATAATGTATATTTATTGCTCAATATATGGGAGAAATTATAGTGTGGTTAAAAAGAAATATAAAAGCGATACAAAATTATTAAGAATATATTCATGCGTATAAATATTTGTAATGATGGTTATCTTTACTGAATACTTTAGTTTATATTCCAATAAAGACATAAAATATTTTTTTCATTTTAAAATAATTGAAAAGTTAATTTAAATTAATACATGTATATTATATTATGTTTATAAGCATTACGTACATCTGTATACTTAAATTCTATCAGAAAAATAGGTTACAATTTAAATTTAAGAAATCGACGTGATCCGGGAAAATTTTAATCCAATTACTCGCAACACTAAAAAAAATGGCGCGATTAAAAAAATATGTCAAATTGAGTCAGACAAATGTCAAATTAGCTGTTTAAACATTAACACGTTTTTGACTCTCGATGCTCTATCTTAGTGCAGACTTTTCGGCAGAATCACATTACTGTTTTCTTAAAACCTCCATACAATTTTCTATGTTAAGGTTCTTATTGTTACTGGCAACTTGGTCAGCCAGCCTTTTTCCATATTTATATTTTTATATTCTTCTTGATATATATTTGAGTTTCTCATAGTTATTAGGTTAAAAAAGGTTAAAGAGATAGTAGCGACGTTAAACTAAATTAGACCTCGATAAACTAAATTTATGGACGTAATTAAACTCATTAATGAAAAACCGACATAAGAAACGCGTCTTCTATTCATAATTGAAATATATATTTTTTTTTATAAAATAAATAATATGTATATATAAATACAAATTATATAGTTTTTAATGTATATTTAAATCAAAAATGTCTGTTTCAATTCAATACTATTAATGTTAGTTAGTAATTTTTAAATTTCAAAATAAAGGAAGTATAAACCATGTAAATGATTACGACAACATTAGAACGTCTGAATTTTTCAACGCAATTCATGTATCGTCTCATTAAAATGCCGTAAAACTTTAATACCTCACGAATGTCGTACTAGTAGTGTAACTGTATTAATAATTATTAACGGCTGTTTCAAACGGTTATACGTTAATAACAGTTATTTATGCGTTCGAATACTACGCGACTTGGCTACGTTAAATTATTCAGCTGTTAAATTACAGTGAAGTATTTTCTGTTATCGTAATTTAAGTATTACTATCTTTTGCTGTTAAACACATTTCTATTTGATTCTTTAAAGGATTACTCATCTGTTTTTTTTTTCTGTCACTACGTTAATCGATTACGTCCAATTGTAAATCGATTTTTACGATTATTTGTATAATATATAGGTTGTTGTTGGTGCTGGCAAATTGGCTAGTCATATATATATATATCATCACACAGGGTTTACTCCTACAATGATACCATTTTAACTCTATTTTAAAAACTGCATGTGGCAAAACAAACTATTTGTAAACACGTATGTAAGGTATCTACAAAACAAGATATAAGGTATCAACCGAATGTAAAAAAGTAGGTACTCAATTCGATTGTATTTTTTTTACATTTTTATTGCCTCATAACTCTGTCAATTGTGAACCGATTTAGGGAATTATTTTTTTATCAGAAAATTTCTATGTGACCATTTTTTAAGTATATCCTATACTTAAAAATGGTCACATAGAAATTTTAAGATATTCAATTTAGTTTTTAAATCAAACTAACTGTTTATGCTATAACTGAAGTTCGTTTTCTTATTATTATTTTTTTTTTAATTTTAGGGAAGGAGGCAAACGAGCAGGCAGACCACTTGATGAAAAGCGACTACCCTCACCCATGAATACCTGCGACACAAAAGAAGTTGCTTGTGCGTTACCGGATTTTTGTACAATACATTTCTCAATCATGCGGAACAATTTATCGCCGTGTAGTCCCCGGCATAGAATAGGCCACACCTTCCTTTTCCGTCGGTGTCGTAAAAATCGACTAAGGGTGAGGAAAGGGCAGTAGCGTCCCTCTTAAAACATCTTTAAAGCCTAACTGCATTTGCCAACTCGCTTGCCAATCGTGGCAACTACTGGCGAAACCTCCAAAGTGAAGGGTTATGTTCAGCAGTGGATATTTAAAGGCTGATATGATGATGATGATGATGAATTTATCACATGTTTACTACAAAAAGAAATATATAATCATCTACCTTCATCGACTACCTACAACATGTACTTAACAAGAAATAGTTATACTCATTGTAGTTTCACGACACTCAACACTAGCCTTTGTCAATACGACGTCATTACTGGGGAATCTTTTGTTCCCGACCTGATCAATTCTCCGTGTGACCATCCCATTGTCAAGGTATCTGATCCTTCAAACAGTCGGACACTTTTGTTATTTTTATCCGTTTCGGATTGCGTAACCCAGTGAAACTCCATAGCTAGATGGGAAGCTTTGTGTTTCCGTACGTAGTGAGTGATATAAATATCTAGTTTCTATAACATTACTAGAAGGAAACTTTGTACAAAAGTCGTTTTGCTTGGGCACGTCTGTCCCATTCGTGTTTCAACCGTGAAACAGTTGTGTTTGCATAGCTGTTTTGGTTTGAAGGGTGCGATATGGCGTGAATTTACAAGGTACAAAGAAATAACACCTGAGTCCTCAGGAATGGCAACACATGGATGAATGGTAATCATGGACGAAACAGTATACTCTGTTATGTCCATACTACGGGACATGTCTATAGGCGACGGTTCCCACTTTCCATCAGTTGAGCCACCAGCTTGTTTGCCATTCTTAGTTGTATAAAAAAAGTGTTACAAACGGACAAACAGTTGAAGAGTAATATTTTACAGTCAGATGTTTATTAGTGCAGTGTAATAACAAAACAAGCTCTTTTAAATCATCACTTTTTATGATACCAACATTGAGTTCGGAATGTGTTAGTCAAAAAAAACTTGAAATAAACACGGCGGTCGCTGTTTACAAAATATTTCAATACGATTACTACAAACATATTTTATAAACATATAATATATTGTATGTTAAACATATTTTTATAACTAAAAAGGAGATTGATAGAAAAATGTTTTTACTCTGTTAATAAAATATTTTAATCATTTTAAAGCTTAAATATGTGACTCAATTAATTGATAGTAATTTTTTTTGATGGGTGAAAATGGTATGGTAACCCCGCCTGCGCTAACGGGATACACTGGCAAAGCAACAGTGAAGGGTGATAGATGAGAATGAAAACAGGTCAGTTAGCCCATCATGATGAATTCATCAGGAATTAACCATGATAGTTTCCAGGGAGAACCGCGAGGTGGTCGACCTGGTTGGGTATATTGCTAGCAATGGGATTCTCAGTCTCCATTACCAACAATCCCCTTCTCCCCAATTGATTGTAATTTGTAACCTATATAATTTATTATTAATACGTAAATATGTTGACATTTATATAATATGACGATATAAGCATAGCATAGTAGCACAATTAAATAAATTTTGTACGCCGGATTCTGGTGAAAAGTGCGAACAATATTTAAATATTATGTACCATCCTTTATACCACTTTTCAAACAAAATAAAGCTATTTGTATTTGTATTTTTTGTAAAGAAATGTATTCAATTATTTTAGGAGTAAACCGAATTAATATTAATAGTCTTGTAGCTGTGTTTTTGAAATAATATATATTTTGCATGTATGGATAAGCAAGTTGGGGTGGTAATAGGCTGGTTACATAGCTCGAAGAGCCAAAAACCGATGAAGAAGAAAAGTTCTTATGTTTTTTTTTTTTTATACAACTTAGAATGGCAAACAAGCTGACGGCCCACCTGATGGAAAGTGGTAACCGTCGCCTATTGACATGAGCAGTACCATGGACATAACAGAGTATACTGTTTCGCACATGATACCCCCCATGCGTTGCTATTCCTGAGGACTCAGGTCTTATTCCTCTGTACCCTGTAAATTCACGCCATATCCCACCCTTCAAACCGAAACACAGTCATGCAAATACAACTGCTTTACGTTTGAAACACGAATGGGACAGAGGTACCCAAGCAATCGACTTTTGTACAAAGTCTCCCTCTGACCGACTCCGTACGGATAGACGCAGTGTAAGATGACCCCCCACCAAATGGGGTGACGACATTTATTTATTTATTTATAAATTACTCACCACACTTACAATATCCCAAAACGTGTAGTGAGCCATAGGTTCATTTTACAAACTCAAAAATTTTAAACAACATTTTAAAAATATATCTATTTCGTCATTAAATATATCAATATCTGGCTGCTGAGCAATCAGAGAATTAAGCAGAGAAATAGCCTGATAAGTGGGAGCAAACTGAGCAGTACAGGTGCGAACCGGCGGTGTCGATAGTAATCGACACGCACGCAATCGCATGCAGCGTTGGGGTGCGTACAAAGAACAGTGGCTGAGAGTTGCAGGATTGTCTATTCCGCCGTTGACCAACCGATAATAGTGTACCATCAAATTGCACTTTCGCCTTACCTCGAGCGTTTCTACACCTACCATACCGGATACGAACAGCGATCGGTACAAATAAGGATAGTAGCCGTAAAGTTTACTATATAGAACACGTGCAAATTTCCTCTGAACTCTTTCTATCGTTAATTTGTATTTTGTTTCATGCGGGTTCCAAATCATTGAATTAAATTCAAAAATGCTTCGAACAAATGAATAATATAAAATGCATTGCAGGGAGTCAATGGATGCAGGTGGCTCGGGATTGTTCTTTATGGTAGTCTATGGGAGAGGCATATGTTTAGCAGTGGATCGATGATGACTGAGATGACGATGATGACTCAAGGATAACATATCTTACTATTATAATATAATTAAAGATTCCCACAAAAAATCAACTCCAATTCTGATAAAACCATTGATTTTGATTTAAAAACTATGGTTGGTTGAATAACTCGGTATACACTATAGGGGATAGTGGTGTGTAGTACCGGCATAGAATAGGCCAACCTTTCGTTTCCCGTGGGTGTCGTAAGAGGCAATTAAGGGAGGCCAACCTGCTTTTGTGGTCGATGCGTAATAGTAAAGAACTGTGGCTTAATAACAGTTTATAGAACAAAATATACAAATACCCCTTAAAATATGTGATGATACAGCCGTTAATTGTCCACTGCTGAACATAAGCCTTCGCCATAAGAGGAGTTTTGCCAGTAGTTGTCACGCTTGGCAGGCGGGTTGGCAACCGCAGCTAGGCTTTGGATATGTGTTAAGAGAGATGCTGCTGACCATCCCTCGCTCTCCCTTAATCGAATCTTACGACATCCACGGGAAAGGAAGGGGTGGCCTATTCTACGCCGGGACCACACGGCGAGGGACAATCATACGAGTATGATAATATTAATGTTATTATCGCACAAATATAGTTATTCAGCGAATTTTGTTACAATTTCTTGATAGATTGAGTCTTAATAAAATGTAGATAGGTATAAAACAATGGGATTATAAAAATGAAGATCACAATGAATTGAAATAACAATCTTAAATTATATAGATTCCTGAGGCCTCAGGAATGGCAACGCATGGGGGTTATCATGGGCGAAACGATATACTCTGTTATGTCCATGGTACTGCTCATGTCTATAGGCGACGGTTACCACTTTCCATCAGGTGGGCCGTCAGCTTGTTTGCCATTCTAAATTGTATAAAAAAGAAGAGCATTAAGTTTCAAAAACGGGTCAACTTTTTGTTAGCTAATTGTCAAATTACCTAAATCGTTTTTTATCATTCTTCTATATATTTACGCAAATAATTTATCTTGAAGTACCTATATTTCATTATTTAATAAATAAAAATAGTTTTATGCATTTAAAAAGATGTAAAAATTATAAAAGAAAATAAATACAGAAGTTACTATAATGGAATCACTTCTATTTATCACGCAAAATTATATGAAAAAATTGGCCCGCTTTTCTCCAAGTATTTGTATAGAGACACTATCTATATAATCTAAGCCAATAACATAGTTTTGAAATCGCTTATGAAAAAATCGCGGACTTTAAAGACAAAAATTGTGTCGCAACTTTATCACATTCCGTTACACTCTTATAATAAATGTTGAAGAAACAACTTTTATTAATAGAATGGTCGCACGTTTGCGACATTCCTTTTCCATTTAAAAAGATGCACTATTTCTTAAATAACACTTATCACTATAAAAAAACACTGGCCAGTATGAACACTTTTTGCTTAAAATAATTAAAAAAAAAAGAACTTCACGAAATGAAATGCACATCACTGGAACGCGGCGCGCGAATTCGAAATTTAAAATTGAACACTTTTTTTATTCGTCGCGCCTTTTTTTTAATAACTTTTTTAAAATTATACCAGCCAAGGACATTTCGTAATTTCGTGAAGTTGATAAGTTTTCAAAATATTTTTTTGTTATAAAAATATAACTTACTGTAGTGCGCGCGCCTAACGCAACAGTACTGAGTTGATCAGACTCATCGTATAATAACGTTCGCTGAAATCTAAAAAAAGATGCCACACTCGTAAGTATGTGCATACGTTTGAGACATCACTATTCTTTTAGAACTGATTATTATCAATGAATTAGGACGTGAAATTATTATTAATCTCAACAATACATAAAGTTTCATCATCACTGCCAGGGGTGTTCTCGTCTAGTGATCTGTCTGGTTCTAGAATTAGGGCACACGGGTATACGACCACGACCTTCCAAGGTACAACAATTTCAGACTAGTATCCCCATCGTAACTGCAGTGCCTGCTTTTCCCTTTTCCCAATAAACCCTTCATTCCTTTTCTTCCAACTACCTTTACTCACTCCAAAAATTGCCCTCTTTTTTCATTGTTACTTTCCTCCATACCGTAGTTACCACCAACAAATATATTCCCAAAGTGTGTTGTTATCAGGCAGGTCCGAACGTATATGTAGCTACAAAACCAAAACCATGAGAAACATGGCTAAAAACATATTACGTCGACTTCAAAGTTTATAAAACTGGGATAGAATATAAAAGAGAAGATGTCATCATGAATGATAAGGTGTCATCATCACCATCGTCTTCATTGATTTAATAATCATTAATTTCCTATACTGGACACCGATCTCTTCCCATAAAAAGCGTACTTACGAGTATTATCATAGCACCTAAGCAAGTGTGGTAACAACACTTTCCAGGCAATTTATCATAATTTCGTATCGATCTTATCTATTATACCCACATTGCTATAGCTTTCCTTATTGTTTTTTAAAAGGTCGTAGGAATAAAAAGAATTAGTAATCCAAATCAAGCCAAAAACTAGTTACCAAGAGATTTTGTATAAAATTGGTCTGCTTGGGTGCCTCTGTCTTATTCGTGTTTCTATTATAAAGCAGTTGTCTTTGCATGGCTGCGTTTCGTTTTGACAATTAAATACGATATGACATGACAATTAAAATACTGGATACAGAGATATAACACATTAGTCCTTGGAAATGGCAACGTATGACGTATCATGGCCGACAGAGTATACTCTGTTATGTCTATTTTTTTTTTATACAACTTAGAATGGCAAACAAGCTGACGGCCCACCTGATGAAAAGTGGTAACCGTCGCCTATAAACATGAGCAGTACCATGGACATAACAGAGTATACTGTTTCGCCCATGATACCACCCATGCGTTGCCATTCCTGAGGACTCAGGTGTTATTCCTGTGTATCCAGTAAATTCACGCCATATCCCACCCTTCAAACTGAAACACAGCCATGCAAACACAACTGCTTCACGGTTGAAACTATAATGTCTATAGGCGAGGGGACCACTTCTCATCAAGTGGACCGTCAACTTGTTTGCCATTCTGCATAAAAAAAAAAATCATTACTTATCCTTTCAAGTTTCACAAAAAAAACCGACTTCAGTTATAATAAAAATGACTGGGTTTGTTATAACAAACCCAGTCATTTTTATTTAAAAACTAAACTACTGAAGTTATTTTTATATAAGTATTGTTATTAAATGTATTATACATATAATAACTGTTATTGTAAAATCATGGTTATGAGGTAACAAAAAATGCAACCGAATTGAGGGTCTTCTTTTTCTGAAGTCGGTTAAAAAAAGAAAATCATGCTTTTTAAAATTTTTGAGAAAATTGTATCAAACGCGAAAGTTACGAAATGGGTTGGCAACGTGTACTATATTCTATTCTCGCTCGGGTTAAGGCCACTGTCACGCTTGTCATATTTTTGCAACAAATGTTATTCTTACCCCCGTTTACTATTCATAATTAGGTAAATAGAACACAAATACATTTTATTGTATGAAAATAACAGCCAATTCGATTGTAATAAAACGCATCGAAGTACAAAGCGATATTTCGTAGACACATTAGACTGAAAATATAATTATTTTAATGATATAAACAATTTTTTTTTATTAGTTACGCCAAATAGCTACCGTCTTTTTGTTTTTCTTTTCTACCCAAAGATTGTTTGGAAGAGATTGATTTAGCAATAAGACCACCTTTCGTACTTCATTATATATATATATATATATATAAACAATTTTTTTATTATTTTTATATATATAAATAAAGGCTAATATGATGATGATGATTTAATAATTGTCTTGATTATTCCCTATTGTATAATGCAAATAAATTAACTCATTCATTCGCACATTCATTTACTTCATTACATTCATTCATGTGACCACACCATCCTGAGCGAACACAGAGACAACATGGTCCACGAATACGATCAACCGAAAAGAGAACGTTCTACACTCAACGACTCACAACAATGACTACTAAGTACTCTTTCACGCTACATTTAAAGGATCCGAGATTATAGAACGAAGGAAATACGGTCACGGGAAAAACCATTCCGCATTGTCACTGCACGGATCAAGTAAGAGTTGGTAATCTTATTTGTACACGAGGGCGGACAGCCTGCTGTGTATAGATGCAGTTATTGGTTTAATGCAGTTTTTTAATGTATTGTAGAGTTCGGAAAGTTGTTATCTCCAGAGAAAAACCCGCAGGAAACTCAATAGTTACTCTTTTAAATCTTTGTTAACACACGCACACACGCACGCACGCACGCACGCACGCACGCAGGCAGGCACGCACACATACGCACATATATATATATATATACTCGTATATATATATATATTCATCATTATCATCATTTCACCCATTATCCGTCCACTGCTGGACAAGTTGCCTACCCATAGACTGCCATATATATAATTTTATCTATATACTGTTTTTTTTTTATACGACTGAGGTGGCAAACAAGCATATGGCCCACCTAATGGTAAGTGGTTACCGTAGCCTATGAACACCTGCAATACCAGAGGTATTACGCGCGCGTTGCCGACTCTGAAGAAACCTCTTTACCCCCCTTCTGAAGAACCCCATGGTGTAGTCTCTTGGGAAAACGTCGGCAGGGAGCTCAAATATTATTAACGAGTATAGTTACTAATAATTTGATATTTATCGTATTATTTTTGCACATTCTATATGTAAAAATATGCATATGCATGCATATGCATAGTGCTGGAGAAGGATGGAGAAAATTAGCTGGAGGGATCGATTTAGCAATGAGGAGGTCCTGCTTAAGGTTAAGGAAAAAAGACAATTTTATTAGAACTATAGAGGACAGAAGGGGGAAAATGTTGGGACACTTGATACGACACGACGAACTTATGAACATTATAATAGAAGATAAGATAGAAGGAAGGAGGGAGAGAGGGAGACCGAGACATAGTTACATCAGGCAGATCAAGGAAGGAGTTGGTGTCGTGTTGTATCAAGAGGTGAAGAGACTCGCTGAAAATCGTAGTGAGTGGCAAGAGCTCCACCGACAAGAGCGCAGCTCTTAAATAGGATAGATAGATAGATATGTCATGTTTTATATATATATATATATATATATATATATATATATACGAGTTAAATCTCAACACTAAATCTTCCACAATAATTTAGTATACTTACAAGTATGTATTCTAGGTTACAATCTAAAATCCATTCTCTACTGTGTTTATAGCGGAGCTTAACACAGAGCAATCTAATTTCAAAGCTAGACAACTTGGAACGGTTGTCTGAATTGTTATTGTTCATACAAACAACCAGATAACAGATGTATGAAACTGCAAACATTATTAAAACCCGTAAAGTGGGTGTTCACATTTATGACATTTAAATATGATGGGATCAAATCTCATTATCTTTTAGTGACCTGTCACACCGGCAACTTAGAGCGATTTACGTTATGTTTTTTTTTTTATCTATTTAAACTTTACTCTTAATTCATAGTAAACAGTCAGCCATTGGGTAAACCAAGAAATACGTAAGTGGTGAATTTTTGACTAGAGAAAAAATAAAACAATACTTGATAAATTCATATAATATAAACATACACATAATATATTAAATAAATAAATATGTACATACATAAATAAATACATAAAATATTACTATATAAAACAATTAAATAAAACAACTGCAAATAGTAATCTATGACTCAAACAGAGTAACCAGCAAGAGAAGCTTAAAGGGAAAGTGATTTTTCTAAGAAATAGATGCGCAATTTGTGTATAAAAGTTAACTTGCTTAGGGTAGATTTTATGTCAAGCGGGAGTGTGTTCCAGTGTTTAATAGTTTGAACAGTGAAGGAATAAGAAATGAAGCCATTATTATAAAATTCCTTTAAACGTAGCGTATATATAGAGTCGCCATAGTGTTTTTTTTTTTTTTTATATAACTTAGAATGGCAAACTAACTGACGGCCCACCTGATGGAAAGTAGTAACCGTCACCTTTAGACATGAGCAGTACCATGGACATAACAGGGTATACTGTTTCGCCCGTGATACCCCCCATGCGTTGCCATTCCTGAGGACTCAGGTGTTATTCCTGTGTACCCAGTAAATTCACGCCATATCCCACTCTTCAAACCGAAACACAGCCATGCAAACACAGCTGCTTCACGGTTGAAACACGAATGGGACAAAGGTACCCAAGCAATCGACTTTTGTACAAAGTCTCCCCCTTATGGGGGAGGCTTATCTTCAACAATGGACAATTAATGACTGATATGATAACGAAGATGGTAAATATACATAAATAAATCTCCATTCCATTCTTAAGATATTAAGGCTGCCTTAAATTTAAAAAAAAATCTCTTACTGAATGTATTTTTAGTTCGGAAATTCATTTATTTTGTAAAACAAGGCGTATGTAAATTGCATTTAAAGTTTACCTTCCGTAAAAGTATTAAAGCTAAATTTACCATCTTTCTTTTAAAGTGTAACATTTGAGTTTCTCGCCAGTTTGTTTTGGCTGAAACTTTTTGAACACTAATAGAATTGACTTCATAGTGAGTGCTCAGTGAAAACAGCTATTTCAACAATAATATAGCCTGAGATCTCACTGCTTATTTTTGCAGGTTTAATAAAACTTTGTTTAAATTAAAGATGAGCTAAAATATAAATATACTGGCAAAACTCCCCT